GTGGAAACTGATGAAGGGGCTGTATTGATGTCTTTGAAGGCACATCATCAAAATGCAGACTTGACTCCTGAGCAATATCCTGACCTGCGCGAAAAGAACCCGGAGTAGCAGCAGGACAACATGGCTGCTTCTCAGAGCCTCCTCTGCATTGTCTTTATCCTGGATCACTGAGGACATGAACAATTCTCACTATGAATTAATGACCTTCACTTACTGAGAATATACCTGTTCTAACAGATTAACCTGGGAAGGCACCCATGTCCAGCATCCCTGTTGAAATGGCTTCACAGGCTTGGGTATTGGTGAAAAAGGGAAATTTTACAAGAACCTTGGACTTCTGGCCAAGATAGAGGCATAGTTAGATACACTTTGCCTCCTCATACAACCAAAAGAAGGACAACAAAAAATTTAAAAACAAAAAAATAACCAGAACTGCAAGAAAATTGAACTGTATAGAAGTCTGACAACCAAGGAGTTAAACAAAAAAAACATTTATTCGGACTGGTAGGAGGGGCACAGATGGGCAGCCGAGGAAGAGAGGACTCATGGCAAGGCAGTGGCTATAGGACCAGGCAGACAAGGCAGCAGCTGGCAGAGCAGGCAGTCTCACGTTTGTGTGCAGATAAGCTGGGAGGAACATCTGGGGAGTAAGATGAACTGCGCAGCCTGTGGTTCCAGTGTGGGAAAAGAGTGTGTCAAAACCTCTGGTTGTGAAGGTCTTCAGGGACTGCCCCAGTGTCAGAGACTCCCAACCTCACAGGAGAGTTTGTTGGAGAGACCCACAGGGGTCTCCAACATAAACAAAATTACTGATCTAAGAATCAGCACGGGGGGGGGGGGTCCAATTTGCTTGTAGGTAGTAGGAGAAGTGACTGAAAGCTGGCTGAGAGCTGAGCAAGTGGCATTGTTCCCTCTTGGACCCATCTTCCATCCATATACAATGCCATAATGCAGCTACCTGGATTGTCCTTCCCTGGCAAATACCTAAGGCTCTGCTCCTTATAATGTAACAGGTATGATGAAACAAAGAAATATGGCCCAAATGAAAGAACAAATCAATTCCAAAAATAGAACTAAGTGATGAAGAGATAGCCAACCATCAGATGCAGAGTTCAAAACACTAGTAAGTAGGATGCTCAAAGAAATGTTTCAACACACTGGGACTTCTGCCAAGATGGAGGCATAGGTGGATGTGCCGTGCCTTCTCACACAACCAAGTTTAGAGACAACTAAATATTAGCAACAGAAAACAGAGCCAGAACACGGAAAATTGAACTTTTCGGAAGTCCGTTAACAACAAATTCTTCAGTCTGACCGGTAAGGGGAGAAACCAGCGGCTGGTGAAACGGGGTTGCACAGGAAAACTCGGTCGGAGGGACTCAAGTGCGCGGAATCCATATGCGCAGAATCCAGGCGCAGGATTGGACCTAGTGAGCGACCCAGGGAGCAACAAGGTGAGCGACCGCAGGGGAGACAGCGGGGAGTGGTGCTGCGTGTTGACTGTGGTCGTGCATTTGTGCGTGGGTGGACAGGCAAGGAAGTGGGCGGTTGGACCGGAGCCCGGTGGGTCCCCGCGGCAAGCGGCAGTGGAGGGTGCGGCCATTTCCCTGCTCTGACCCCACCTCCACATACAGCGTCATAACCCAGCGACTCTGAGTGGCCCGGCCCTGGTGAACCACTTATTGCGCTGATCCTCGCCCAGCTGTGAGAAACAGCAGAGGGGGTCGCCATTTCCCCGCTCTGACCACGCCCCCACATACAGCGTCACAACCCAGCGACCTGGGAGTCCAAGGGCTGCTTCTCACACTTAAAGGGCCAGAACAGACCAAAAATGTCGCAAGATCTCAAAGCCCCAGAGCCCATAGATCTAAGCGATGAAGAAATAGCAAAACTCTCAGACGCACAGTTTAAAACACTGGTCATCAGGATCCTCACAGAACTGGTTGATTATAGCCACAAATTAGACAAACATATGAAGGCGAAACTAATTGAAATGAATGGAATTGCACAGGACACCAATAGCAATGAAAAGGAAACTGGGACTCAAATCAATGGAGTGGACCAGAAGAAAGCAAATAATGGCCAAACAGAAAAGAGTCAGGAAGCAAGAATTCAAAGAAATGAGGAGAGTCTTAGGAACCTCCAGGACATCTTTAAACGCTCCAACATCCGAATTATAGGGGTACCAGAAGGGGGAAAAGCACAGCCACCAGTGGAAAACTTATTTGAACAAACAATAAAGGAGAATTTCCCGAATCTGGCAAAGGAAATACACTTCCAGGAAATCCAGGAAGCTCAGAGAGTCCCAAAGAAGTTGGACCCAAGAAGGAACACACCAAGGCACATCATAATTACATTAGCCAAAATTAAAATGAAGGAGAGAATCCTAGAAGCAGCAAGAGCTAAGGGGACAGTCACCTACAAAGGAGTCCCCATCAGACTGTCAGCAGATTTCTCAAAAGAGACCTTACAGGCAAGAAGGGGCTGGAAAGAGGTATTCCAAGTCATGAAATCCAAAGACCTACAACCAAGATTGCTCTATCCAGCAAAACTTTCATTTAGAATGGAAGGACAGATAAGGTGCTTCTCAGATAAGATCAAATTCAAGGAGTTCATCATCAGCAAGCCCTTATTATATGAAATGTTAAAGGGACTTATCGAAGAAAAAGAAGTTAAAGAAACATGAACAGTGAAAGGACAACAAACTCACAGTTATTAACAACCACACCTAAAACGAAAGCAAACTAAAAGGACAGCTAGATCAGGAGTGGAAACATAGAAATGAAGATCTCAAGGAGGGTTAGCAACAGGGGAGTGGGAGGAGGAGAAGGGGGGAGAAGGTACAGAAAATAAGTAGCATAGACAGTAGATAGAAAATAGATGGGGGGGGTGAAGAATAGCATGGGAAATATAGAATCTAAAGGACTTGAGACACATGGTCATAAACTAAAGGGGGGGTAATGGTGGGGATGGGGGGTAGGGTGGAGGGGAATGAAAGGGGGAATAGAACAACTGTAACAGCATAATCAATAAAAAAATTTTAAAAAAAAGAAATGTTTCAGTATAGTCTCAAAATAAAGCAAAAGTGAAGGCTATGAAAGGTGAAATAAAGGAAAATGTACACGGAATCAATGGTGATAGGTAGAAAACTGGGACTCAAATCAATGATTTGGAATAGAAGAAAGAAATAAATATTCAACCAGAACAGAATGAAGAAACAAGAATCCAGAAAAGTGAGGAGAGGTTTAGGGACCTCTGGGACAACTTTAAATGTTCCAACATTTGAATCACAGGGGTGTCAGAAAGAGAACAGGAAGAGCAAGAAATTGAAGTCATTCTTTCATTACCTGACAAAATAATGAAGGAAAACTTCCCTAATCTGGGAAAAGAAATAGACTTCAGGAAGTCCAGGAAGCTCAAAGAGTCTCAAAGAAGTTGGATTGAAGGAAGCATACACCAAGGCACATCATAATTACATTACTCAAGATGAAAGATAAGGAGAGAATCTTAAAAGCAGCAAGAGAAAAGGAGACCTACAAAGGAGTTTCCGTAAGACTGTCAGCTGATTTCTCAAAAGAAGCCTTGCAGGCAAGAAGGGCTGGAAAGAACTATTCCAAGTCATGAAAGGCAAGGACCTACATTCAAGATTACTCCATCTGGCAAAGCTTCCATTTACAATGGAAGGGCAGATAAAGTGCTTCCCAAATAAGGCCAAGTTCAAGGAGTTCATCATCACTAAGCCCTTATTATATGAAATGTTAAAGGGACTTATCTAGGAAAAAGAAGATAAAAAATATGATCAGTAAAATGACAACAAACTCACAACTATCAACAACTGTACCTAAAAAAAAAACAAAACCAAAACAAACTAAGCAAACAACTAGAACAGGAACAGAATCACAGAAATGGAGATCATGTGCAGAGTAATCAGCGGAGGTGGGAGAATAGGGGGAAATATACAGGGAATAAGTAGAATAAATGGTAGGTACAAAATAGACAGGGGGAGGTTAAGAACAGTTTGGGAAATAGAGAAGCCGAAGAACTTACATGTACCAGCTATGGACATGAACTAAGGTGGGGAAATACTGGTGGGAGGGGAGGTGTAGGGAGAAGGGGATTATAAGGGAGAAAAAGAAATGGGACAACTGTAATAACACAATCAATAAAATATACTTTAAAAATAAAAAAATAGATATTATGTCATTACCTAGTTTATGAAAGACACTTTATATGTTATTCATTTATTTGCACATAAATGTGAAAGGCAAGTATTATCATACCTGATGTACAAAAAAAAAACTTTAGAAACAGTAGTAGCTCACCCAAAGTCATATGTAAGCAATAATGTGAGCTTTGAACCCTGACCTGCCTCTAACCTGCTCACTTGCAGATGAAGAAAAGGGTGTAAAGTACATAATCAATTTGCCAGAGTAACCATGACCAGAAAACTCTCAGCTCCCTTACATATTTTTTCTGTTATTGCTTCCACGTGTAAAGTTACATAATTTCAATAACATTACTACCAGCTTTATGTTTTGTTAACAATACTGCATGTGAGATTCAGGTGGGCAGAGACAGAGATGATGGGAATTAATTAACATTACTCCAATTTAAGGCATTCCTGGAATGTTGACAACAATGGCATCTCAGTAATCTGATAAAACTCAAGTGGTATCCCTTAGGGTAACATAAATGTTAAGGATTTTTATGCAAATGGCCTATAAACACCATAGATTTCTTGATCAAATTTCATTTTTGTGCTTCCAACTTTGCCTTCTCAGCCTACAGACTAAAGTGACCTGTTTTCTCCCTTCACTGCTGCTTCCAATTTTTCTTGTGATTTAGAAAAACTTTCCCCTAGTAACCATTTTTCCTGGTTACTCTCTTGGCTGATTTTCTGCACAAAGAACTGAAAGGCATTTATCCCCTTGGGAAGCAGTTATTTTAGAGTTTACTAAGAAGTCAGTTAACATTTTTCAACATTCCCTTCTGTTCTTTGTTTTAAAGAAAGCTCTGGTTTTGTTTCATTTTCAGCTGGAGACTTAAATGACACCAAGCAAAGGCTACTTAGTTTAGATTTCCAGGTAAAAAAGTTTTAAATTTTAAGTTTCTACTAAAGCATGTGGAATGATTTTAATATTTGGGTGTTTTATGTTGTGTATATGTTTAACACTTGAGGAAATTAGCTGTTACTAATATATTTTTAAAGTTTAAAATGTTCATATTTTTCTGTTTATTTTTTCTCCTCATCGTGAAAAATTCCCATGTATTTCACACCTTACAGAATTGGGATTAAGTATATTTTTATATGTTTAAATAGAATTAAATGCTCAGTAGAACTATCAGATGGTTTGAAAATTTCTTTCTCTGTTTCGAAGTCCTAAAAGACCACAAAGGATTAATTAAAACTGTTTTTCATTTTAAGCCTGTTGAACGAAGTTAAAGGGATAACAGAAATCTCATGCCTTCATGTAGCAGTTCAAAATTCTAAATTTAATATTGTAAAAGGTTATTTATTAATGCTGATAAAAACTTTAAGGAAGCAGTAAATTAACCAAGATTTACAGGTGACATTTAATGTTGGGATAAACACAGTACATGTTAAAAGAAAAATTTACTTGATCAAAATATATTTACTATGATTAGAGTGCCACAAAATTTTACCTCTAGAAACATATTAACTCAATTGCAAAGTTGCTTATAAGACATTAAATGCAATGTAAAATTCTATAAATCTTTGGAAATAACAAAGGCTGAGGCATCAATTATAAAACTGGTACTGAGAGGCCCCTTGATAAAAGTTATTTAAATGTTTCAATGAGACTGTATAGATTATGATTTTGTTACAATAAGGTAGCTCTGCAACTTTATTTCTGTACATATCTATTTACATTTCTGGATTAGTAAAAGTAGGCTGATTTGTGGAGGGCGAAAGAAAAAGACAAAGGGAGCCAGTTTCCAGGATGGGGAAAACTGCAAGAGAGGTGAGCTCAGGTACCTTGTTAAGTGAGTGCTCACAGGAAGCACAGGGACAACCTTAGACCCTCATGAAGTTTATCTCCAGAACCCTTAATTCCAGGGCCCAGCTGCTCATAACGCTTTCCTACCACAGAAGCACCTACACATAATGACTGTCAAAGCAGGAACATTTCCATGTATGTTTAATGCACAGCATAGCATTTATGCTTTCCATCAGAACTCACTTGTCCTGCCACTCAGCTAAATTGTACTTCTAGCCTATCTCACAGTCCAACTTTTCATAAGCTTTCTCCTGTTGCAATTGCTATTCCTTTCTGATATAAGCTTGCTCTTTGAATTCACTTTAACAATTTTAGCTGCCAATCAGCTAAAGAGTTTGCTCTTTCCTTACATTTTGCATGTTAGTTTTTCTAAAAGTAGATTATAAAAAGTTGTTCCAATACAGTCAATAACCTACAATAAAGACTTCAAAATGCATGCAGTAACTAATGTACATACTGTATTTTGCAGTGTATAATGTGCTCCCATGTATATAAGCATCCACCTTTTTGTGTGCATTATATACAGGATTATTATACCCATTATTGTATCCCAGGTATGTAATGATTACATCCATGTATAATGGACATCCTTATTTTTCCATCAAAAATTTGGGCAAAAAGTACATATTTTACATGGCAAAATACGTTATATACTGAACCAAGATTGCAGTGCTGAGATTAGGTGACAAAGATACCTTAATGGGGGCAAGTCAGAATATGATCCAAAGGCAACCTAACTAAAGGAAAATGATTTTATTGGATAAAGTTATAAAAAGAACTATTGAGATTCAAGAGGGCAAACTGAGCAGATATCACACCTTCGTCTCTCACCAGATTCCTAGAAATAAGAGAAGATATATTACAAATACACACATGAATATATAGCTCCACTAGAAAATAAGAAGAACTGATGAGACAGAAATTGTGAGGAGTCCATCCAAGGCAGTAAAATGTGGGAATGAATTTACAGAGGGAAAATATAGTTGTAGCATGGGAGAGAACTAAGTCAAAGATGGCTTGTGGAAAAAGAAGTTGGTAGATTAAAAGATCCCAAGTAGGATGAATCACAAACACCCACATATACAACCCTGTACATTACAGTAAAACTTCTGAATATTAAAGATAAATTGAAAATATGAAAAACTTCTATAGAAAGAGGGAAAATGAAATTTCTCTAGAAGAAATGAAAATCAGATTCAAGTTAAACTTTTCACCAGTAACACTAGTTCAAAGAAAAACTGAAGAAATAATATCTGTAAAGTACTGAAGGAAAATAATTTTGAAATAATTCTATATCCAACCAAACAATATTTTCTGATATAAGAATTTAAATTTTTTACATCTCACAACATTTTCTTTTAGGAAGTGGCTATATTTCAACAGGAAATAAAATGAATCTGAGGGAACTTCTGCTTCTAATAATGGCAGGCTAGACAATTCATAATGATTGACCTGCTGAGAATAATTAGACAAAGTAATAACAGGACCAACATATGGGGTAGGACTGAAACCCAAAAAGCTTTGGAGTAGCATTTCTTCTAGAGGCTAAGAAGTTTAGTATATAGCTTTAAAACAGCCTCATTAGGCAAGAGAGAGACAAAATTTAAGGAAAAGGGCTAAACAAGCAGCAGGGCCAGCAGGGAAGAATAATGCTGGTGAAATCACCAGGCTTGGCTTAGGACACAAAGTGCTTCAAATCACTCAATTAGTAGTGCCACAGCCTTATATCCAAAGCAGATGTAAATCCTTTTGGGATAAAGAATACATTATCTTAGGCTCAAAGTATTTTCATCATTTTTCATATTCAATGTCTGGCAGTCAAGTAAAAGCCATTAGGCGTACAGATGGAATAACATGGTCTAAAACCTAAAGAAATACAGATTACAGACATATAGATGGTCCAGAATATGGAGTCTTCAGACACAAACTTTGTGACAAATATGTTCAAAAAAGTAAAATGCAAGATGGAAAATTTCAGTAGAGAGTCAGAAGCAATAAGAATAACACACTGAAAACTCATTTAAAAAACCCAACCCCACAAAAAAAACTAAGGAAGTCAATGAGTAGATTTAATAGCAGATAAAAAAAGATTGCAGTCGAAGAGCTAATTAGTGAACTGGAAATACATTAAAAGAATAACCAGGATGAATCACAAAGTCACACAAGAATGAAATATACAAGACGGGGAAAGAGACATTAAAGACATAATAAGAAATGAACAACACAGCCCTGGCTGGTGTAGCTCAGTGGATTGAGTACAGGCCTGCGAAGCAGAGGGTCACAGTTCAATTCCCAGTCAGGGCACATGCCTGGGTTGCAGGCCAGTTCCCAGCAGGGGGCACAAGAAAGGCAACCATACATCAATGTTTCTCTCCCTCTCTCCTTCCCCTCTAAGGATAAATAAATAAAATCTTGGAAAAACAACTTCAGAGGAGAATAGTTTATTGCAGATGTCATTAGATATAATTTTATGCAATTTGGCAGGTATTAAAAAATATGGTCAAGGTATTCTAACAAATTATTGTATTTAATAATAAATTGCTGGAAAAAAAGAAATGAACAACAGAACAGAAACAAACTCATAGATACAGAAAATAAACTGATGGCTATCAAATGGGAGGGAGGATTTGGAGAGTTGGGGGGCTGGGTGCAAAAGGTGAAGGGGTTAAGTGATACAAATTGGCACTTAAGAAACAGTCATAGGGATGTAAAGTACAGCATAGGGAATATAGTAACATTGTAATAACTATGTATAGTGTCAGATGGGTACCAGATATTAGAGGGATCACTTCATAAGTTAAAACAAAAACAAAAGAAGACTGGCATAGATATAACTGGTAGTTCTAAAAAGAAAAAGAAATGAGAAGCAAGAAAGTATTCTTTGAAGAGATAAGGGCTTAGAAGTTTCTAAATTTGATGAATCTGAGGCTATAGGTTCAAAACAGCTACAAATCTCAAGGAGGATAAAACTAAGAAAATCGTAAGTACAATAGAGTAAAATAGACCAAAGCTGAAGCCAAAGAGAATATCTTCAAAGCAGGCAGGAAAAAAGTTATTTTTAATACAGAAATTAGTTTACAGATGACTACTTAATAGAAATGACAGAAACAAGAAGACATTGAAATGAAACCTTCAAAAATGCTAAACAAAAACAATCTCAATCTAGAATTTTATATCCAGAGAATACAGCCTTTCAGAATAGACATAAAATATATTTTCAGATAACCAAAAAGAGAACTGGTCATCAGCATTGGTCATGCAAGAAGAAAGAAAGAGAAACAAGAAGGATAAGTGTTTAGGTAAATCTAAATTAGTGGTTCTCATCTGAGGGCAGGATGATTCCATTCATACCCTAGGAAACACTGGTAATGTCTGAAGACATTTTCGGTTGTCATAACTGAAGGAGCATCTACTGGCTTGACGTCAGGGATGCTACTAAGTATAGAAAGGCCAGTTGCCCAATAAAAAGAATTATCCAACTCAAATGTTAACAGTGCTGAGGCTGAGAGAGCCTAATATAAATGAACTTTGAGTATAAAACAATAATAATAATAATCTTTTGTGTGTTTAACATATATAAAGAAGTAAAATATATGACAAAGCAGCATACATGCTAGAATGAAGCTAAAGGTGTCCTGGTCCTTGCGCTGTGCAGGAAAAGGTAAAGGTACCGATTTGTATTAGATATCGTAAGTCTAGGATGTGTGGGGTAATCTGTACAAAGAACATAAATAATTGCCAATGTAATAATAAAAACTAAGTAATCATTTTAAAAAAAGCAAGCAAGAATAGAAACAAACACAGGCAGATCAAAAGAAAGCAAATAGTCAGAAAAAAAAATGTAAACTGAAATGTATCAGCTATTACATTAAATAACAAGAGACTAAATCTTCCAATTAAAAGACAAAGGTTGTTAGACTGCATTAAAAATGATATGCTGATAGAAAGTATACTGAGCCCTGGCCAGTGTGGCTCAATAGATTGAGGGCCAGACTATAAACTGAAAGGTCGCTGGTTCAAGTCCTGGTCAGGGCACATGCCTGGGTTGTGGGCCCAGTTCCGGG